TTAGCATGGCAAGCGTTCAGAGCGCTCAGTTATGATCCATGATTTAGTGCAAAGAATATGAGTCAAAGTAATTTTTAAAAGCACTGTTTTCACAGCTATAGAGAAATGAGAATTTAAAATGTGTATTCTCTAAAAATGTATCCATCTTTTAAAAAGTCCTTCATCTAGTCAAAGTCTGTACACTGTCTTTTTAAAAAGTAAATTACACCTTTGGTAAAACATTTTATTTTTTTTTTTTTAAAGACCCTCTAACACTAGCATTCCCTATTTTTCTGTTCTTACTAGTTTTCTTTATAAAAAAGACCCTCTAACACTTGCATTCTCTATTCTTTTTCTATTCTTACTATTGTTTTCTTTATAAAAAATGACCCTCTAACACTAGCATTCACTATTCTTTTTCTATTCTATCTTGTTTTCTTTTTATTTGTTATAAAAATTACCCTCTAACACTAGCATTTTCTATTCTTTTTCTCTTCTTTTGACTTTTTTTATTTATTAAAAAAACAAACAAAACACCCTCTAACACTAGCGTTCCCTATTTTTTTCTATTCTATCTACTTGCTTTCTTTTTCTTTATTATTAAAAAAACCTTGCTATGTGTACTGCGTTAGGCTAACTGAGACTTGTCACAGCACTTACATATTGCCCTTTTGTTGGTTTTGATTGCTTCTATTGTCCTCATTTGTAAGTCGCTTTGGATAAAAGTGTCTGCTAAATGACAATGTAAATAATTTGATATAACTTATTGAGGCCCCCTAGTGGGCCCTGACCCCTTGGTTGAGTACCACTGCACATCTTGAAAATAAACTCTCATCACACTTTCAGTATGGTGTTCCATTCACAAACTTTGGCAAGCGCTTGTTTATTTACATCCTCACTATGCTACATATGTACGTCTGTAGTTTTGATCTCTCTAGCTGAACAGTGAAACAAGATGCGAAAGCAAACATATACAGACCGTGAGAGAGAGAAAAAAAATACATAGTGAATCATTAAAACCTACTTGTTCAGATATCTGCTGGCAGTACTTCTATGAACAAACCAAAGAATAACACGGACACTATAACCAAAACCTGGTTATAATGAAGATTTCAAAGCCCAGCAGAACTCTAGTACTGAATACTTCAATACTTGTGTGGCATTTAATTTAAGCCATACCAGTAAAGTGTTGAATTTTTAGCACCCAAACTGTTGGATATTTTCCCTTACAGAAGCACTGGAGGGCAGCGTGATCCATACTATGACTAAAAGCAAGAGAGATGGTAACATTGAACACTTGACCCCATGATGGTCAGGTTAAGCACATTTGGTGGCTTAAAGAGTTAGAGAAGAGGTTACTTTACATATGAGAAAGTCGCTAATAGCCACACAGGTAGATGTTATACTTCCAAGTTTATAATGTTCAAAATGGCTGAATATACATGTAGTACCCATAAGATTCAATGAGAGGTGCTGTTGTTGCCCAACAGGCTCTGTAAAAAGCATTGGTGTGCTTCTCTTATCCACATATTAAATTGCAAAGTCTTTTTAAAAGACAAAAAAAGAAAAACTGCTGCTGTACATGTTGGTACTGTATGTAGAGGCTGTGACCCAGACACAGAGGGTCACTAACTAAAGGTACTCGGTGCTTTTCGTATCAAGTCCCAAGCAGTCAGAAGGTTTCTCATGTCCTTGTATGAAAGTATAAAAATGTGTCCATGCAGCATGCATAGGTCGTGACAACATCCAGGTCACCAGAACAACTCTTTCCTCACGAGAAGATGCGTGAGACTCACAGACAAACTGCAAGAACTCACAATAATTGATCTGGACAAACCATCCTTCAGCTGACAGTAAAGAAGGAGCAGAGGGTTAACGATCAAAACCCAAAGCCACTGAGAAGTCAGGACTATGCTGCAATGATGAAACCAATCTGTAATAGCAGATGGCAGTATCCACATTCCAAAACATTTATTCCCTAGTTCATCCTTCATTTCTCGACTTTTTTGTTAAGGTGACGTATAATTAGCATGGAAAGCATTCAGAGCGCTCAGTTATGTTCCATGATTTAGTGCAAAGACTATGAGTCATAAAGCAATTTTAAAAAGCACTGTTTTCACAGCTATGGAGAAATGGGAATTTAAAATGTGTATTCTTTAAAAATGCATCCTTCATCATGTCAAAGTCTGTACACTCTCTTTTTAAAAGTAAATTAGACCGTTGGTAAAACATCAAATGACACTAATGCTTTAAAATCATTCGAAACAGTGACATTAGTGAGAAACGCACAGTATGTTATTTTAAACAACACTATTGAAATGGATAAAAAAATAATAATAATGCAGGATTCAAAGGAACTTCAAGAAGATGGTTAATGTCATGTGCACAAAAAAGGTTTTGGTGAAGCATAAAGAAGTGTCTCTGAAAAGATGAGATTTTACAGAATATTCACTTTTATCTCGTTGACTGCTGATCTGATTAATCCGCTCTAGTTTGACATAACACGTCACCACATCCGGGTCCAAATGCTCCTTCAGATCCCAAAAACAAACTACAAACAGTGCTAATATACACTTACGGTGTGCTATAGTACTACTGAAAAATCAAGATCCTAACCTTTAACTTCATACTGAAATCTCAGTTGGCTAGACAGAGATTCAGATTCATCTTTTCTGACTGGGACGCTGTGAGCCCAGAGACTAGTGTACACTGGAAGCTTAGCTTAAAGGGGTACCATTATTGTACAGTGCTCATAAACGGCAGTTGAGATTGTATTCTTACTTCAAATGAAGTAAAGGCTTGGACCCAGAAACAGTCTTTTGATATGTCACAAGCGGATTATATTTCTGAATAACTTGTGTCACCATGCTGGTATGGTCATAAGTTTTGAAAATTTTTTTTTTTTTCAAAACTGAGATTTATACATCATCTGAGCTTTCCATTGATGTATGGTTTGTTAGGATCGGACAATATTTGATCGAGATACAACTATTTGAAAATCTGGAATCTGAGGGTGCAAAAATCTAAATATTGAGAAAATCGCCTTTAAAGTTGTCCAAATGAAGTCCTTAGCAATGCATATTACTAATGATAATACATTTTTTATATATTTACGGTAGGAAATTTACAAAATATCTTCATGGAACATAATCTTTACTAAATATCCTAATGATTTTTGGCATTAAAGAAAAATCGATAATTTTGACCCATACAATGTATTTTTGGCTATTGCTACAAATTTACCCCAGCAACTTAAGACTGGTTTTGTGCTCCAGGGTCACAAATGTGAAAGCTTCTCAAAAACCGTGACCTATCAAATTCCTTCAAAGTGAACTAATGACTATGTCAGTACTGTCCTACAAAGGCAAAACACAGCAACTACACATAATTCAATCAAAAAAAGTGAAAATTGATCAAAACTTTAAAAAAATCTAAAACTCTAAAGTCACATTCTCTCTCGAGTGTACTTACTGTTTTGTCTTTATATGGCAGAATAGCTTTTAAATACTTGGTTAAAACAACCTCCTATCTTTCAATGTTTATATACACTATTGCAGCTAAATGTCATTATTGTGGCAGGGACAGAAAGCAGAGAGCGACATACCCTGTAAGCCACCAGTTCAGTTAATACTGAATGATTCTCCTCTTTAAGCTGCCTGCCTCAAAGTACTTAATAAATACACTTCTAAATAAAAGTGTTAATAATGGAGATAATTATTGTATCTCCACTGATTCCCAACACTGACAGGCATTCAAAATGACCTTTTTGATCAATACCCAAGAAAAAAACTGGTACAAGTGTGGACTAAATTAGAGACATCATCAATACCTGAGTCAAAACACACGTTAATCACAGGGAAAATGTGTGTGAATACCAGGAATTGATGACTGACAGTAAGGAAAGCTGAATCACAACTGAATCAACGTTGGATCCACAGTCTACGGGACTGAGCCGGCTCTGAAGTCATCAAGTTCAAAATGCTGGTGGATCTGGTGGATGTTAAAAACCAGAAATCCAAATAGTGCATTGTGAGATGATTTCATCCAGGAATGGAAGACATGGAAGACACAATGGGGCTGTTGGAGTAACGGTGTGATTGGTCCATTATGGTGGATTGTAGGTCACAGCGACAACAATGACTGGACGCGAACACAAACCCTCATACACTGCAGAAAATAATGCAGGAACCTCCGTGTGTTGGCTGTGTTGTCACAAATGAGCCATGTTTTCTGAATGTGGTCGGTTTGAGTTCTAGGTGTTCCTCGAGGCCAAGGCCTGCTCTAGCTCCTGCCTCCTCTGCTGAATCTTTGGAAGCAGAAAGACAGAGTCAGTCAGTTTTTGTCCAGTGCAGTTCAGACATTGACAAAGTGCAGCCCGTTATAACACCCTGTTTTATAGTAAGACCAGGAGAAGGTTCACACTAGTCATCGTATATTTTTATATTCTTACCTTGCAGTAGAAGTAACGGCTAACAGCCTCCTGAGACCAAGGCTGATGATAAAACTCTGCTCTCCTCTCTTCCTCTGGGTTCCCAACAACATCTGTCATCAGCTACAAAC